CAGGATGTTCAGGAGAGAGAGTGGAACGAGAGACATTGAAATGCAATGGAAAATAAGAGAGAGAGGGAGAGATTCACACAGAAGAGAAAGCTCAGTGGATTCAAGCCTGCAGGCGTTTTAGCAGAGCTCGTCTCTCTGGACTGACACCACCTTTAATGAATCCACACACACACACTCAAAGGCGTTTTTCATCTGTGTGCAGAGAAAACACACCTGTGAAGCTGTCCACACAGGTGCCTTATTAAAACACACACACATACAGAGAAGCCTTTTGAGATGAGCGAGAAACACTGGTGACCTCAGTGGCATGAGACACACACAGGTCGGTGCACCTGACGTATCGACCGTAGTGCGTAGAAAAACTGTGCACATCATTAAGACCTGTAGGCGGCAGTTCAACCAGAACGTTGGTCTGAGAGATGTTTGCTGAGACTGAGTTTGTCATTAGAGATGGAGGTGGTTCCATGGAAGCCTTAAAGAATCTTCAGTAAATGATTTCCATGTCAATCACATGTGCAGGGGATCGGCTCCGGTGCTCGAGCTCCAAACGGTGGAAACCTGGAGAGCTTAGGGCGTGTAATGCAATAAGTTGGGTGTGGTCTTAGAACGCATTAATCCAGTTCTCTTAGTACAGTCACGATGGTGTTGCCTTTCAGTAACATGACCCTCACCCTAAATATCATGAGGGAACCACACGTTGCTTCCTTTGACAGTGTTTGATCACAAAGCAGGAACAATCAAGCCCTCAAGAATAGTTAGGCTGTTAATTCCAGGTGTAAATACAAAGGCCTGTGGTCAGTGTCATAGTCCTGACACTGAGACAGAGCAGGAGGTGAAATTAGCTTCTGTGTCTGGTGCCTCGGTCCAGATGTTCTCTGTGCCGGTCAGCAGAGGGCGACACAGGGACAGCCTGTCCAACTGTGTGCAGATAAACCACAGTAAAATATATAGGCTTCTTGTCACACACACAAACCAGTGACACGCACAGAAGGACGTTTTGATAGCACAGCTTCACAGCTGTGAATTAGCTGCAGGTTAATGTGCCACACACACACACACACACACACACAGACTAAATGGAGTAAAGGTCATCTAAAAGGTAGACAAGACAAGAAGAGATTCAGGAAGGTGAAAAAAGGATGGAGTGAACAAAGAAAAGAGAGGTAAACAGGAACAGACAGTGGCACCAGTGTGACACTGACGGAGAGTGATGGAGGAGAAGAGGGAAAAGTGAGGAGGAGAGGCTTTAAAAGGGAATAGAAGTCCTTTAATCTACTGGTCTCTCTGCTGCAGCCTCAGGCGAGCCTCCAGCACTCCCCGCTCTCGCCTCGCTCTTTCTCTTCTTCTTCTTCTTCATTAGTGAGCAATCAGAGAGTGAGTGATTTAATGGAGGAGTAAGAGGAGAGAGTTAAACCTCGGCTAAGAAGATGGAGAGAATGATGGAGCGAGGTTGGACTGACAGTGAGGCAGGGTTCTAATACCTGAGTCCAACGCTCCAAGGTGCTGGACCAGTTGGCTGCTTCCTGGCTGCCATCATCGTCTGCCCAGGAAGTTGTTTTTATCAGCGTCGGTTTGTTTGTGGTGGGGTACAGCCCACAGAACAGTGCATTTTAGTGCTGATCCAGATCATCATCCAGATCCAGGGATGTTTTAGAAGAAATCTTCACCATAATGATACCAGCGTGAATCCAAAGGCCAACAGTAGGTTTTCATGGTCACATTACGAGGGTTGCACTGTCATGGGAATGCTGCTTTTAGGTGGAATGGCATCATGGGGGCAGTGAGCTGCCTTGGCGAAGGTTTGCACTCTCTGAGTGGCATCTAGTTAGTGTTCATACTGATTCTTTACAGGTTCAGTTCAGGTCTGAATCAGTATGAGCCTGTGCACTCAGCTCGGCTGCTGATGGCGCTGCCCACAGACCAAAGTGAAGACTCATGAACACAGCACTGTCCTTCATTCTTGGACCGAGACGGGAGACTGTGCTCCTTATCCTGTTATCTTGTGAATATCACTCCCATGGGGAGGATTATGAGACAACAGTCTCACGGGCACAGACATGTAACGGCCCCCACCCCAACACTGGAGCCTCAGACTGAAGGAGTTTGGCTGGCTGTAGTTAGCTTTTAGTGCCTGAGTTTGTTTTCATGATCCTGTGTGGCAGCTGTGAACATGCACAGCAGCAAACAGCACGGCAATGTTAGTTTTTAATGCTAATGTTAAATAGATGTAAGGGGTCTCCTGTGCTTTTCAGCTGAACACGTTTTTATGTAATATTTATGGACATGCACGGGCCGTTTCTCTCCACCTGTGGAGCTGTGTTAGCGTCACCACTGCTACTGGCTGCTCCTTCTCTCATGTCATGTTGTAGCCAGATGTCTTTCAGAGGTGGAGTGTGATTAAAAAAGGTATTTAGTTTAAAGACATGTAATTCAAATACACACCTCTAAACACAACTCCACCAGTTTCCATCGGCCGCTTTAAATAGTGATACAAGCTACGATGATGTGGAAGCCTGTTCTCTGCCCAAGGGCTGCACATTACATGCACAACAGGCACCAGATTTAACAGTTTGTTATTGATACAACCTGCCCCGGAATAAAATCTCCAGCACCAGAATTAGCCAGAAGGTCACTGCCGGCACCGATTAGACACTGTCTTCTTTAATATTCATTCTAAATGTGTCCTGAGGAGCGAGCATCGGCTGTCAGGGTGTAGCCTTGTTGGTGTGTGTGTGTGTGTGTGTTCGCTCTTCCACTGGACATGATGATACACTGAGCTGCTCTCTGAGGACCTGCAGTCACCCGAACAGGCAGCTCTGCACCGTATGTGTGTGTGTGTGTGTGTGTGTGTGCATTCATTGTGTCGTTATTTACTCTGCCATACAAACAAAGCAAGGTCACATTCAAGGTGACGTGATCTCACCATCTCTGCCTTAACATGCAAACAAGTTATTTTCCCCTTTCTCTCTCTCTCCCCCTCTGAAGAGGCACATAGAGAACAAATGTGCGCCGGCCGCCCGACCAAAGTCAATTACAGCAGCCCTGGGGATGTCGTCTTAAACAATGCTATTAGTTTCTAATAGTTTTTAATTACTGGCCTTCTTGTTTTATAAATCACCCTCTACTTTCTCTCTCTTTCTTCTCTGTCACGGAAAAACCTATTTGTGTCCATAATTAAATGGAGGAGAGGGATATGAATTTAGTGGCCCTCGCTTCTCCACTGTTTCTGTTTGAGCGGCTCCTGATTAATGCCAATACATATTGCTTGAGATAACCATTTGGTGGTTAATTTAGCCAAATTTATTGCCAGCATGCCTGTGCAGTGTGGAGCGGGGGGTAAGGGTACTGGGGGGGGACACCTCCCTAGGCCAGGGGTGTTTGGTGCAGTGCCACAGCGCTATCTGGTGGAGAGTAGCGAGTACTGCAGCTCTCAGGTAAAGACTGCACCAAATTGGTGAATCTCATGTACATGAACTTATTATGAAAAAGAATAGAATGTGGTTAAAATTGGTGAAAGGTTGGGAATTTCTTTCTATTTCAGTTTCCGTTCTTCATTTTTGGGGGCTTTAATGGTGTTGGATGAGCTGAGGAAGATTTGACAAAGAAAGAAATCAGGAAGGTTTGAAGGTTTGACATGAATCCACAAGACAAGGTGATGATGCTATGAATAAACAAACACTGAACATTTTAAAACTCTTAATGATTAATGTGATCAAATGTTATTTCCCAATAACAGAGCGGTTTGTATGTCGTTCTTATTTCATTCTGAGCAGTTTATTAGGTACAACTGAGTGAAATCCAATACAACAGCCCCACCATAACATCTGTTTTCATGAAGCTCAAATTGTTTCAGTTTGTGGTCGAATTGTATAAATTATAATTATACAGTTATAATCAGGGACATTAACGCTGATGTTACACTGACTCCAGGTCAGCTGTGGGCAGGAGGCAGGTTCTGTGTTAAACACAGGGGCCTGGAAGTCCTCGTTTCCAGAAGCTGCAACATCTGGAATCGACCCTGTCACAACACGGCTTGGTGTGTGTGTTGTTTGGCCATCACGCGTCACACACAGACGCGATAAAGGATGTGATGTGTTAAAGCTCTACAGAGAGTTATAAAAACCCCAACTTTCCTCCACCAGAAATGTTCTGTGCGTTACTAATCTTTGAATGACTCCTAATGTTTGTGTGTCATTATACATTAGGGATGAGCTCGTGGGCTCTCTGATGTCTCATCACACTGGGAGTGTATTGTCTCACACCTTTCAGAGGCACACAAAAGCATGAGCAGACAGCAACACACACAGCAGCTGGCAGTGTGTGTGGGTCTGATTAATGACGGAGCAGCTCTCAGCCATCTGTCACATGACATCTGACGACTGCCTCTCTCTGTGTCTCTGTCCAACTCACTCATCCTTCCTCTGTGTTTTCACTAGCGATCTAGCGTTGATAAGAGCCATCTTCACAGTTGACTGCCTGGTAGGTAGATGCAACGCCTGGTCCAACGGGCGTAGGTTAGCCCAAACTACACCCCTCATCCGACGTCGTTGGATCCTTTGCCGGCAAAATGCTGATGAGTGGACTGGTACAATGGGCCGGAGCCATCTGTGGCAGTCCCTACGAACACTCAAAATAGAGGGATGGTCACGAATTAAACTATATCCACCTGACTATGTATTTTTCTTGTTATTTTACTGTATAGATGTGTTTTATCTGGTCTTAGGTATCTTTATTATTATTATTATTTGTTTATGTTTTACTGGAAAGCACCTTGTAACGCAGGTTTAGAAAGGTGCTATATAAATAAACTTTGCTTGCTTGCTTGCTTGCTTGCTGTGTTTTATCTTTTCTCTCTCTCCTGTGATAATCAAGCTGCCTGGTCAGTGTAACGTCTGATAGTTTTGGAAAACAGAAACATCAACATCCAGCAGGATGTAACAGACTCCTCTCTCTCTCTTTCTCTCTTGCCCCACCTCCTTCTGTGTTCTTCTACATCTCAGTGATGAATAAGGGTCAGTGTGTGACGAAGTACTATCGGTGGATCCAGAAGAACAGCGGCTACATCTGGATCCAGTCCAGCGCCACCATCGCTGTCAACGCAAAGAACGCCAGTGAGAAGAACATCATCTGGGTCAACTACGTCCTGAGGTCAGAGGTCACCCCGGCTCATGTGTCATCATCATGTGTCAAATTTGTAAAGTTGTTTTTGACCTTTTTGTTTAATGTAGATGGTGAAAAGAAAATGATAAAAGTTGAATTAAGAAGAAAGTATTCCTGTCCCTTGTAGTGTTTTTAACCAGTGTGGAAGGGTACTTCATGTTCTACTATGAATTCTGGATTTTATTTAAGAATTGATTGTATAAAAGAGTCGGGAAATAGATGTTAATTCCACCACATAACTGTATAAAACCATCGTTCTGTGTGTCTTCACAGTAACCCAGAGTATAAAGACACACCCATGGACATCGCCCAGCTGCCAAACCTGCCTGAGAAAACCTCGGAGTCGTCCGAAACCTCCGACTCGGAGTCCGAGTCCAAAGAAAACTCAGGTAGGGTGAAAAAATAGAGGAGGAGTAATTAGTCACTGAGAAATAAATGTTTTAGAGGAAGTGGAAGAAACAATAAGATGTTATATTGGGCATCCAATAACCCACAACACATTCAGTCCTCCTTGGTTTTCAATGTTTTTATCTAATATCAAGATCAAAAGAGTCGCTCCTTCTAACACTGGTACATTTCTTACAAACACCTGTTCAAGTGCTACCAGTAGAACGGCCAGCAGTAAGAAACACAGCCTGACTAAGAGAAGCCAAAGATATTTTATCAGTTGGTGCCAGAGTGCCGTCTGGGCCAGGCTGGGCGGTAATCGGTGCCAGCAGCTGCAGGGACTGGGCACTTTCTGGCCACCACAGAATGACATGGAGCAAAATACCTCCAAACTTCACAGCCAGCACCACAGAACACCCTGCAGAGAACGAACCAAACACAAAATGCCATCACATGCTTCTTCTCAGCCTTTTACTGTATGTCCTGGATGCCTCTAGGTGAATGTAGGTGAACTCTGCAGAACGAAGAAGGGGCTTGTCAAAAGACTTATTGAGCAACAGGTTTGGTGTCTGCTTCATCACAGCTTTGTCTGTTCTAGTCTAAGCTACAAACGTTAGCATGCCCTGCTAACTTGCTTACAATCCTACTGTCCACATCAAGGCAAAGGCGCACATCATTAGCTAACTGTATCATTTATGAGCTTACATGTCGCGATTGAAAAAGCCTGATTCAGGACTGGAGCATCCGTTGTGAGGGAGCCGCTCCTGGGTGGTCTCGGGCTTGGGCCAGCATCATGTCTTGACACTGCAGCTTTTAATTTGTAACATTAAAGGCGACACTGTTAGAAAATATGAACAAAGATGCATAAAACTAACCAGCATTCTTTAGTTTTCTTTAGTTCATCTCAACAGAGTTATATTGGAACAAAATGGTCTAATCGTGGGCTATAACACGGGCGCTAACTTCCACAATGTCAGCCCTTTATTCTCACACCCTCAACATGGATTGTTACCTGGTGAGGATGCAGCTGTCAAAAACATTCAAGGACATTTTTTAAAACAAGTCGGCTGGAAACAAAGTGTTGAAGCAAAAAGCTAGAGCTATGTTAGCTCGTAAACCTGAGCAGCGAATCAGGAAAATTCAGACTAGAAATGAGAAGCTCTTTTTGTCTAATTCTGCCTGTAGGAGATGAGAAGGTGAAGGGGCAGCCCCTGTGGTACCTAAACACTGCATTTTTTCAGATTAAAGGTAATAAAATAGATGTTACTTCTTCTGCAATAAGCTTTTACAGTAAACTGTATTTAAAAGTTTCATTTTGGCGAGATTAATTATTGGAAATAACACAGAGAATTTGAATCATTCTACTAGAAACATAAAAACTAACAGTACAAGGGCCATAACCCAGTGGGAGCATCCATGCAGAAGACGACATTAAATGTCACTGACGTCCTCATTCAGTTCCAGAAACACAAATCAGGGAGCTGCTTTGTGCCTCACCAACGTTTCAAGCAGCCACCAGTGAAGGAGACAAAGCCACGCAGTGCCAGTTCAGTTAAATCTAAAGTGATACAAGGCCTCCACCTTGAGCATAATATTATCCAGTCCTGTGGTCTGTGTTGGCATGATGAGAATCGGTGCCAGCTGCTGCTCGTGCTGCAGGAGAATTATTCTGGCGCTGGCGGCTGTAAACTGGCGCCAGCTGCTGCAGGAGGCGGCCAGCTTCAGCTCCAGCAGGCTCAACAGAGTCTAAAATGAGATGCCTCACCTTTGACCTTTGTTCTGTTAGGATGCGGCCTACAGAGTGTCGGAGAGGACGTGAGTAAATGTGCCAAAGACGCACCTCTCCCCTGCTTGTAGTGTTTTTTTAATGTCGGCAAAACAAGGCAACATAACATAAAAGCTGATAAAACACAAAATGGTGATTTCACAAAAGGTGACACCAGAGAATTGAAAAGATGTAGCAGGGAAGAAGAGAAATCGTCTCATCTCAGAGTGAACCCTAAATCTGAAGTGGCTCATGTGAGCGATGCTTTTTCAGGTTAGAATGTTCATCCAGTAAAATGTGGTTTAATATGAGGAACACAGAAAAACGGACTTTTTCTGTGTGTAAATAAGAACGTTTTGGTTCCATCAGTGAGTAATTAACATCCTTCATAGTCTGAGAGCTGCAAAGGTCAAATGTCAGTAACACACAGCTTACCAGAAATCAGAACCTAAGTATAGTCGATTCTTATTTCAGGGCATTGCGCTTTTAAGAGGATAAGACAGGTGATTAGTTTGGATTTTTGTTTTGTTTCCTAAAATGGCTCGGGGGTGAAAACACAGTTTGTTCACCCTGAGTTGATGGAAACTGAGTTTTGCTTGAACTCTGAGTCAGTTACCATGATAACAGTACATTTCATTTTTATTTTTTAATACTTATTTTGTGTAAATACCATTAAGGGCTAGGCTAGTAATTTAGTTTTGCACTTCCATAAAGTTGGGGGGCTTAACGCAGCTCCTAATCTCTGCTATCAGTATTTCTTACAGTACGTCTGACACCGAACACCTCTGTCCACCTTGATGAAGTTGGACTGTGAGAACACCAGGGACAGTGACTGGTTCATTGTTTTGTCCCTGACCAACCCAAAAAACTGCCCCTGATCCTGGAGACATTTAAAATTATATGTACATTTTGATTCAGTCTGAGAATAAAGCCGTTTTGCTTGGAAACACGTTTAATGGAGATGTTAGGTTTTCCCCAGACAAACCAAGTGAGTTGACATTTCAGGTGCCATGAGGGAATCGGAGCGCTGCCAGCTGGGCAGCCGCTGGCCTCAGTGTGCGCTGGCAGGGTTTAAAATGTGTGCGTGTGCTGTGAGCGTAATGAGCTGGACAGAGCCAACATGCCTGAACAGCAGCAGCTACACATCCTGAACATGCATCAGCAGATTCACAACACATGGAAATCCTGTGTGGAAAAGTCCAAGGGTCAGCACCGGAGATTCACAAAGTGAACGTGTTAGTCCGGCAAAGACGGGGTTTGAATAAGAAGCCTGTTGCTTTTGTATTAACGTCAGATCTTTTTTCTTCAGAATGATTTGACATGGTGATTTTCGGGTAAATCATCAGTGCCTCATGCTGTAATGGACACTGCAGCCTCTAGGGGGCACTAGCAGGACTCTTGTTCTGGTTGGGATTGGTATCACCCTTTAACCTTTAACTCAGCCAAGCTAGCACTGTGAGGCTTCACCGCAGTTCTTTGAGCTAAATGCTAAACATCAGCAGGCTAACATGCTCAGATTGACGAGGCTAACACACTGACGTTTAGCAGAAGCAATGTTTACCACGTTCACTGTTGACATTCATGACTTCTAAGTAAACAGAGTAGAGCTGAGGCAGATCTGCAGCTGTTTGGTCATAAAGCATTTATGAATAGAATATGTAGTTCTCTGTATTTTTAAACAATATTATCCATTGTAACCAACGTCTGTCTTCTCAACAGACAACGAGAATGCCAAGTCTGAGGGGAAGCCAGGCCACCAATCGGAGCGCAGTGAGGACCCAGAGGCGGACAGCAGACGCCAACAGCAACCAGGCCAATCACACTGTTCCTCCGAACAGGAAATGAAGCGTCAGGAGGAAGGAGACAGCTCAAGTAACCCTGAGAGCCAGGACAGCGACGACAGTCTCGAACCTTCAGATGGAGAGGGGGAGGAGCAGGAGGAGGCTGGGGAGGGAGGAGGAGGAGGAGGAGGAGGAAGGCTTGGCAGGTTAACAGGGCTGGGAGGGCTGGGCGCCATTGGCGGACTAGGTAATCTCGGCGGGCTTCATATTAAAGTAGAGCACTATGGAGATGCAGAAGAAGTACAGCTGCACAACTCACAACCTTCTTCATCGGAGGAGGAGGAAGAAGAGGAGGGCGATGACGCGGAAGAGAATGGAGGCATGCAAGATTATGACAGTGCCAGCACCGGAAGCCAGCTGCAGAAGAGACGGAAGAGGAGGAAAATGCAGAAATGGGATGGATCCCGAAGCAGGAGGCTCCGTCTGTCCACAACTACGCCCAGCCCCATCGCCATGGGAGAACGACGCTCGTCGACCCTTCCCAGGCCGCCACCTCCTCCCACCTCCTTACCTCCTCTGGCTCCCCAAACAGCACAGGTGCGACGTCCTCGGTCCTGAAGATTAAGACGGAGATGGCAGAGCCGATCAACTTTGACAACGACAGCAGCATATGGAACTACCCGCCCAACAGAGAGATCTCCAGAAACGAGTCTCCGTACAGCATGACCTCCAAGCCGGCTGCTCCGGGCACCCACGAGACCTTCCCTTCACCCCAGGGAGGATCTCTTCAGGTTTCCATTCCTGACTCTGTCCTTACCCCTCCTGGAACCGAGGGAGGAGCAGGAGGAGTGAGGAAGCCTCCTTACAATGGAAACTCTGCCCCATCCTCGGCTTCCAGTGCTGTGAGTTTAGCTCCTCCCTCCAGCGCCTCCTCTGCTGACCCCCTGTCTCCTCCCCTCTCTGCCTCCCCTCGGGACAAACAACAAGGCACGCCCACCACTTCCTCCTCTTCTTCCTCTGCCTCAACCTCCTCTTCATCCTCATCGACTTCTTCCTCTTCACTGCTGTACTCTGGCGACCTTGAGGCGCTACAGCGTCTGCAGGCCGGTAACATGGTTCTGCCATTGGTCCACCGAGTCGCGGGGACTCTGTCCTCCACCAGCACGACGTCTCCACGGGTCTACACCACCGGGACCATCCGATACGCACCGGCCGATGTTACCCTGGCGATGGCACAAGGCAACCTCCTCCCCAACGCTGCCATGAACTTTGTTGACGGCTCTGGGTTTGGCCTGGACCCGAAGACACCGATGGAGATGCTCTACCACCACGTCCACAGGCTCAACATGTCGGCGGCAGGCACCGGCCGGCTCAGCTCTCCGACAGCTACGGGTGGAAATGGCGCCCTGGGAGGCCAAATGTCAAGCGCAGCCAATGTTTTCACCACAGCGGAGGGGCTTTTCTCCACGCTGCCATTCCCGGTGTACAGCAATGGGATCCACACCACACAGACAACTCTGGAGAGGAAGGAGGATTAACACGAGACGTTCAAGACCGCATTACTGTGTTTCCAGAATCGAGAACTGTGTCAAAGTACAAGACTACTCGGTAGTAAAAAAGAAAAAAGAAACAAAAAAGACAACTATTTACTTGCTGTCATGTATCAACACGGTGTAGCACTGTGTTTCCGAGGGGGGAGAAAGGACAGGAAAGGATGACAAACGTACTGTAGCACTTTGAATCTGAGCAACTGAGCTTGTGTAATAGACATGAATGACCCTCAAACATGTCTCCCTTTTCTATCTTTTCCTCCTCTCCTCCTCCTCTCCTCCTCCTCCTCAGTCTCTCCCTTTGCTCCTTTTTCTTGTGATCAGCAGCGTTTTCAATTTAACAACAAAATAGACTATTCTTTATTGTAAAGAATTCCTTTTTGCCTACAGAGAATTCATATTGCCTAAGGACTCTGCTGGAGCCTGACGGGGATAATTTTTATTATTTGACTTGTTTCTGTTGCATCTTTATGAAGATGCTGATTGTGCATATTTAAAGGAGGACGGAACAGGGATTTGTAACGGACAGAAAACTGTGGCGCTCCTCCTGTTGTATCTTGATGTGATCAAGGCTTGAAAAGAGTTTTTAAGCTGAGAGGAGGGGCTCTCTTGACAAAGGTCTCAGAGATAATAATCTTTTGAAAAAAGGTTTTTGAGGACGTTTCTCGATTGAGGGAATAGTTCAGTTTCTTTCCTTTCTTCCTTTTTATAAAGTATTGTAGCTCAGATTTAACTTACAAAGCAAGCATTAAGAAGAAAAACAAAAAAGCAATTTCAGCCGGGTAATGACCTGTGAATTATCGAATGTTACTACTTCCTCTTTTATCCCAGGAGTTTACCTACAGGTCTCGCACCAAACATAACCTCCTCAGCATCTCTTCCCATCTCGATCTGTCTTTCTACCTGATCTTTAATCTGTGTCCACATTTCTTCCTGTTGATCAACAGACTCGTGGTGCTAGTGACCGTCCAGTAACCCTGATTCAGCTGGCTGATGTGGGTGCTGTAAACAAACCCACAGTTCACTGACAGACTGATCGTGCTTTTGGTTTTTGTTTTTGTTTTTGGGTTTTTTTTTTTTGGAGGGGGAACGTTTTGTTTTTGTTTCTTGTTTTTTTTTTTTTTTGCTTCTGAGCTTCAGGAAGGTCAGAAATGCAGGAAGAGAATCAGCAACCTCATGTTTGACCCTCTGGGTCATGAGGGGAAGCTCTACACCGCGATGTGACTGGTTGGGTTTTAGCCTACGTAGTGTTGTTTTTATTTTTGTTTTCTAACTGAATCACTTTTAAATCTCAGTGAGACTGAGGCTAATTAGCTAGCGTTGCTAACTTGAAAAATGAATGTTGAAAACCTCGACCGCCTCCTGTTTGACCACTGTTTTATTTTTGTACTACTATAAACCACTTTCTTCCTTTGTCCTCCTCCTCCTCCTCCTCCTCTTCTTCTTCCTAAACCGAAGTCACCTCCACAAAATTTTCCTAAACAATCCGCTCTCTTCCATCTCATCGCCGGACCCTGTGATATAAACCACATATCAACAAGGAGATTGTAATAAAGACATGCATTTACAATCAATCGATCGATCAATCCAATAACTATGAAAAAAAAATAGGATTTTCTGAGGAAGAGAAAAAATCACATTCCTTTATACAACGTTGTCTTTGTCGTTGTTCTTCTGTTTTGTGTTTTTCTTCCCCAGTCTTCGTTGCCAAAAAAGAAACATTGATCTCACAAGTTTGGTGTTTTAAAAGCACTGTGATTCTCATTCATTTGTATTGTTTCCTTCTGCTTTTTTGGTAACAAGAAATAAAAAAGATGAGAACACGTACTGGTTAAAACAGTATAAACTGTCAAGACGTCCACCTTTTTCAGGTCGACAGCCCCGTCTTTACCATCCCGTCATCCTTATTATCCAGTGTTATTAAGCCGTAAAACGTGTTACGATGTGTTTAGTGTCGCTGGCTGTCAAAACGTCTTTCATGGCGACTTCTCTCTGTGTGTGTGTGTTGACTATATGCAGTATATACTGAGCTACTGTAGCTGTTTTTGTCCTTTGTCTTCTCTGTGCTCTATCTCTAGTGTGGGGGAGGCGAGAGGGGGTCTGCCCGACACCCCCCCCCAAAAAAGGACAACCCTCCTCCTCTCTTTCCCCGTCTCTTTCTCTGCCTCCCTCTATCTGCAGTCTTAGTGAAACCAGTGGAGGTTCGTGGAATTTCGTGTCCGGTGGCCTTTGCACAAGATGAAAAAACTTTGTAGAGTCCACCTTTTTTCGCTGCTTCCTCTTTGTCTTTGTAAAACCTTCTTTCATTTGGTTTTCTAATCCTTCTCTTTCTCTCTCTGCTGTTGCTTTTTGCTGTCGTGTAGTCTTATACAAACCTCTTTATCTCACTGTCTTTTCTCTCAGAGATGAAAAGATTCTTTAACTAGCTCAAAGGTTTATGGAGCCATGTTACTGCCGCTAAGGAATTCTGGGAATTGCAGTTTCCAGCTCTTGCATACACAGTATTGAAGAACTAATAAATATTTACACTGTATAGAAATAAATTATGATGAGGAAAAGCCTAAAGTAGCATTTTAGATGTAGTCCTGGAAAAACCATTAAAGCCTCAGTTGTGAAACATTTCCCAGAGTTCCTTGGGGCTTCTTGTGTGCATTGGGTGTATTTCATTGGTTCCCACCGAAACTTGTTGACTTCCTGCGCCAACCTTTCTCACAGGACAAACACAGTTAAACAAGTGGTTAAACAAGGAGGGAGAAAAAAGAATCACAGTATTTCAGGACACAGCAATTTTAAAGGGTTCTAGAGAAATTAAAAGAACAAATATTTCGCACTATAAATCTATTTTTATAGGTGTTTTGGAAAACTGAACTGCATGTTTACTAAGTTCGTCCGAAGAGTTTCACGTGATCGATCCCTTGTTTTGTGTCGTCATGTTTTCGGTCTAGCGTTTTGTTTTCTAAGTCTGTGGAGCCCAAACAGGGACATGATGGAGGCCTGTTGGAGGAACAAAGCCTGTATTATCAGACCAACCCGGGCCTCTGATCCCCCTTCACATCAGGAAAACCAATCTGTAACGTCTGTGCTTTCTGTGAAGAGTCGGTGTCTTGTTACTCCGACTAACGTGTAGAGAAAACGCCCAGGTTATGAAATTCAATGATGCATTTATTTATTTTTGCATTCAATAAGGAGAATGTGACCTGAGCCGCTTGTGGCTGAATGTTAGATTTATGGAGCATTTTCTTTCCACGCTCCTCTGGATTTTAGAATTTTCTACTTTTGGGCGGTTGCGTGTGAAACACGGGGGGCGGAGCACAAACAAACGTCAGGGCCCCATTTGGTAAAGACAAGGGGGTTTTGTGGGGTGGGGGTGCACATAACTCCGACGAAACCAGGAAATACACCCACATGTAACAAAAACCAAACAGCTGGTCCAGGCTGTTTCAATGTTTTTCTGTGTTTTATGTCGAAAAATGAAAACTTTGCTGGTGATTTTAAAAACTTAAAACCTTAATCACAGCTGCTGTCAAAAATACATAGTGTTTAAGAATTACAGATATTGAAAAATCACTTCATTTACCTGTGAAGAAACTGTGTCGGTGTTTTTAACTATTTCTTGTACAATTATACAGATTCTTTTATGAGGAACTTGGTGCCAAGTAGCTGAAATACGGGAGAGAGGGAATCTCTTATTATCAATGTTAACAGTGTTATAAAATTCTAAATACAAACAAATTAAAATATTAAAAAAGAGAAGACTATGGTACATTTCTATTTTTTATTTTAGTTCTTTCCTCACAGAAGAGGGGAAACACACAACTAACTGATGCTAACTTTGAGTGTCTGGCTTCTTTATTATTATTATTATTATTTTCAAAGACATCTTTTTGAGTTCATTTACCACGAATAATGCTGCAAATCCGAAAATGTACATACTTCATTTTTACAGCAGTTGTTCTTTTCTAAGTTTACTAGGTTCTCATCCGTTCAGAGAACGTGTCACATACACGGTTGTCTTTCTGTAACCCGGTTTGACCATCTTACAGGTGCCATATTCATAATAAAAATTTCTCTCGAATTTGTTACCAGATTGCATAATTTCTTCTGTTTGACACATTGAGCCATCCCGCCCCTCGCCAAGGTGTTAGAGGCTGACGTTTTTCTGTCATTCCTTCTTCCTCCTTTCCTTTCCATTCTTCCTCTTGCTTTCCTGATTGTTTTTTTTGGTTTGTGCTCAGAAAAGCTCAGGTTTTATAAAGAGACAGACAGGAGGAATAGATCCCTGTGGACAGTTTGTGGTCTTAATTCATGTTGTGGAAAGTTATCTTCAAGCTCACATACAGATGGATTGATAGTTGAATGGGTAGATACAAGGGTGGGTGGGTAGACAGACAGACAGACAGACAGACAGACAGACAGGTAGGTGTATCTGGACAGGATCCTGACAAATGACTTCAAAGGAACAAACTTAAGTGCTGAGATAAATGTCGATGAAAGCTGGTCCTTTAAAATATGCATGTCCTCCACCTTCGCTGTGTCTCCTTCACCTTGCTGAGCAGAGGCTGCAGAGCGAGCGAGGCCCTGAGGCGTTTCAGACGAAGCTCCTGTCCTGCCTGGAGATGTCCGGTCGGCCACTCGGGTACGTTCACCTGCAGCAGAGAGGTGGATCATTCACCTGACAGCTAGTCAGCTGGGGTCACAGGTGAGGGTGTAAAACGAACAGCTGTCTCTTTACTGGTGAAACTCCTGCGTCTTTTGCATTTTGCTAGGTTAGAAAAAGGCTTTGCCATCCCGATCATCCACCCCAGCCTTTGTTTATACATCATGTACAGTGACTATTGCTTTTGTCATAACATGGCCACTAGAGGTCGCCAGATCATAACCGGCCATTCTCATTCTCAGGCTGTCCACAACTGCTACTGGCGTCTCATACAGACCTTTACTGACTTCAGTGTAAACCCACCTATGCTCATGTGGCATATAGGAGGTAAGTCTGTGTCAGGAACTGCTTCAGCAGCCTCCTTCAGTGCAGCACAAACAATCTGTCCGTTACTTTGCACTCGGAAAGACTCTGTGCTATAAAGGATAACGTAGCCGAGATTGGTTCTCCATTTGTTGGTTTCAACCACTGGCCGTTTCCAACTAGGCGGTACCGGAGAGCTCAGATTCCAGGGTTAAAAAACAAACTTTATTCTAATCTATGATCCTTTTATAAGTCTGTCTACATAACCACATAGTTTTAGCGCCTGAACTTCAGTGGCTAATGGTAACCACATAGTTTTTGTGTCTAAAGTTCACCACTTAGTTTTGGTGCATAAAGGGCCTGTTCCCATTCCCAGGGCATCAAACACTGGCACCTTGTGAAAGGTCAGGCATGGTATTCGACACCTTGAGAATAAGAATGGGTTGGTATAACAGCTATGCCGGTTCTGGCCTCCTGATAGGGGCAGTTTGCCCCAACTGAAGCATAATTATGTGTGTGGTGAGAACTGGTAGCAGCCATTTATTGTAACGAGTGATAACATTTCAATCGCCACATTGTTGGGAGTCACCTTCCAAAAATAAGGAGTTTTAATCGCACTTTTCTTCAGTATGTGTCCATCCAGCCAGTCATCCTCTGCTCGTGTCTTTTATTATCGTCATCTCTCCTTCCTTCCTCCCTGTATCGTCTCCCCTCCTCCATGCGGTAATAAGAGCAGAGAGGTCAGTCAGCCTTACCCTCTGAGACCGACCAGCTAACTTTAAATATTTCACACTATTTTAAATGAGCACACATGAATTATAGATCACAGGCAGCACTCGTCTCTCTCCAACTGTGTGTTGAGGTGCTTGGACCTGAAGCTCCTTCTAATAACCTCTGGCTGTCCATCTCAGCGAGGAGGTCTGATGTGGAATTTAGATCCGACAGCATCCGTCGTGTACCAGAGGCGCAACGAGCGGCCTTTCATCAGCGGCCCTGATGGACGGATGATGAAACAAAGCGTTAGAGATGAAAACTCATCAGGGTTTCATCTGCGCATTCACGGGGCCTCATCTCCCTAATTCCCAACATGCACCAGAAGTCAAAACATCACAGAAATGTGCTGAAGTGCTTTGGAGACTCCTGGAGACACGATGTGATGTTTAAGTTCCTGGAGAAAGATCCGTCCTCTAATGTTCCCACAGGAAGGGTCTGAGTTAGTTGCAATTATGTTTATAGAAGAGCAGCGCCTGCTCGGGTTTATTTTGCGTTGTGGGGTCATTGAAGTCCTCTAAAGTGTGTGGAATAATAGCTCTCAGCAGACCAGGGATTTCTAAATAAATCTATGCAGCTGCAGGACTTTTTATGCTGTTAAACTTTATGAGCTGAAAATCAGTAGCTTATAGTTAAATGTTTTTTCATAGTCGTTTAGCTAATGTTAATGGAGGCACACCGTGGTCACAAAAGAAAGAAATACAGATCCTACTAGCTCATTTGTGAAATTTCAGGGACGATGTTTAATTAATGGTGTAGGAACTGGAAAGCTCCCAAACCTTCCCGAGAGCCATCAGGGTTTTAAGTCTTCCCTTTTTACACTGTGATCTATAAACGGACCCTTGTTTTTAATCCCTGAACTCACTAACAATGTACCAGCTGTCAGTTAATTAGGCCCCAGTAATGAAATAATCTTACAGACCGGACGATTCCCAGTCATGTTCTGAAGAGTACAATACCTCCAGTATGGAAACGTTTACAAGATACAGGAAGAAGGCCCACAGTGCTGTCCTGGGTTCAGTGAGTTTTATTTTAGTTCCACATTATGTCCATGTGCGTTGAATTCACTAGTGGCCGTTTCTGTTTATGATTCACCCGGGGATGTACAGGTATCTGTCACTGGGTCACTTTAATATGGAAGAAAACACAAAGTCTGGGTTTCTTTAGGTGACTGGGCTCAGCCAAGTCGCAGGAGAAGAGGGTGAAGATGTTCAGCAGTGGATACTGTTAATGTTTGTGCTCTCACAGATATGTGCGTTTAACTATATATTAACTTTTAGTCGATAATTAGACATGATAAATGAATGGTTTGTTATGTTTTGTAGCCTATTAATTGCACTTATTGGTTCTGAGAAGATCACCCCCAGAATTCAAAGTTAAAGTAAGAAGAAGAACTAATGATGGCTCCTCTGTTTATACTGGGGAGATGCTCGCAGCCTCACTGGCTCATTCACTCCTCATTAGCCAGCTGGAATACGGCCGTTCACAGTAGACGTGATGTTCTCATAGATACAACAGTTTTTATATAGACTCAGAATGATGGGGTCAAATGTAGTATTCCTATGGACACAAGCTCATACGGGATTTCCAGCTGATACACATGCAAAGAAATCTACATAAAGGTCTGATGCACAACAATATCTGCTACTAAAAGAGAAATTTTAGTAGTAGAAACTGAAGGAGAAGTGGCAGAAACAAAGGGAATGGGAGAAAGGCAAAGGTAGTTTCAACATAATTCCAAGTAAAGCTGGAATATTGAGAAGCAGAGGAAGGAGACCAGGGTTCGGTCATACAGGGCTAAACGGCACTTTATTTAAAATGCAGAGACATGGAAGTGGAAGGTGTGAGCTCTGTGGCTGTGACATTAGACTGAAATATGAGGATGAGGAGGGAATTAATGCTGGAACTTAAGGAAATGAAGTTAATGTTGGATTTGTGTGTTATATTACAGAGAAGTTCTGGAGATACGTGTTGTTTGGTTTAGATACAGGAGGAGAGCAAGTCCAACAAGCAGAGTTTAGTTTTTCCTTTGTTTTATTCCTTTATTTCAGTGAAGAAACTGTGAAATGGCCTGATCTGCACTCCGGTCCAGGTGGTGGCGGTATCGCGCCACCTCGTTGTTTGCCAACAGCCATTGAACCGGAAGCGGAAGAAGAAAAGAAAACGAGCGCATGGGTTTATCCGTGAAGGCAACAGTCTAAAGGTTTGTATCTGTTTCCTTTACGTTTTGTGGGACTAGTTAAGTTTCCCGTTTCATTCATACGTGTTGCCAGTAAGTAACACCTTTCCCACGGACTCTGGTTTCCAGCGTCAGGTTACGTCGTGGTTTCCAGCGTCACCAATCAGCTGCAGCTGTTTCCTAGGACGGAGGCACAGAACCGTGTGTACACATGGAGGAGAAGAACGGAGGTATGACTGCAGGGAAGGCCTTGTCACAGCTGTATCAGGGCACCGTGGGGGCTTCCTTTCCCGTTGGAACCGCACTGAGAGCAGGCGTGTTGTCACCGGAGTGGCGCTACAGCGACACCCAGAGGACGCGCACGTGAACTGCGGCTGAACAGGTGAGTGCGGCTCATTTCGACAGGTTCAAGGATTTTATTGTCACTTCACCAAATGTGCAGGACATAGAGAAAATCGAAACAGCGTGTCTCTCTCACCTAGTATCGGGTGCCATAACATTTAGGAACTAAAATAGAATAAGAAGTGGATTAACATAATTAGAATAAATCTAAACGGTACAGCCAATAAGCTGTGACTCAAAAGCGTGTACAGTCAGTGACAGTAGTGCAAACAATAATAGGAGATTGTCAGGTGGTTCAGTGTCACCAGGGCGTTGGTGATGAGGTTTACATGGACAGTACTGCAAGTGACCAACGCAGCTGATTTACACGTAATATAACAAAATGGGGAACGTACTGAGTTTGTGCAACAGCAGGGGGGTAGTCTTTATATCTTTTTATGTTCTGTGGTGGGTCACAGTCCAGGAGCGGGGCTGGTAGTGAACAGTGCTCAGCATCCTCACAGCCTGGTGGATGAAGCTGTGTGTAGGTCTGGTGGAGTGGGCCTGAAGTGGGACACAGCACCATCTCTGTGTTTACGTGGATCTGGTCATGTGACCTGCTCACTTGGCAGTTTGTTAGGTTGTGGGAATTTACAGATTTGTGAGGATGTGAAAATCATGAGTTGTTTCCCTCCTGGGCAACATGTTCACCTGAACACCTGTCTACACCTGCTGTGTCCGGCAGAGTTGTCTTTCCTGGTTCTGGTTACGGTGGAAAGTAACTCGGCACATTTACTCAAGTACTTTCCTATCAGAGACATTACTGGGACACGGGATGTTGAGCTGGATGAGGACTGGTACTTCAGGTACATTTTGATGCCAATACTTTTGTACTTAAGTAACATTTTGAATGCAGTATTGGTACTTTTACTTGAGTAAAGGACCTTAGTACTTCTTCCACCGCGGTTTCCTCAAAGCGTACAGTTTGAGGAAAAGAACAAATGTGCTTTTTGTGTAGAAATAAGTTACTGAACATGCTGAATTACCCTAAATTCAGATGGTGCACTTGAGTAGTCACGTGGAGACTGACTTCACAAAAGCAAAGCAAACCCGTGGGTGAGCTTATCTTTCCTGTTTGTGTTCTGTATCAGCCCTAAACTTTATTATACCAAAGACCCCAGACATTAGAGATTTGCATCTCTTGTAAGTCTAAAACTTGGAAACACAGTAAACTGATAAGTGCAGCACGCCACAGCCAAACTCTGAGCCAGCGCCTTAGTAAAATACTGTAACATGTCATTTTGGATGTTTTCTGCTGATTTAAACTTTCACTCCACATTGTGCTTTAGTTGGTTACTTTATGATTTAAGGTTTTACATCAAACCATAGGATCAGGTAGTAAAGTGATGAATTACTTTTGACAGTGACATTAATATGTCAGAAGTCACTGTTATCAGATAAACTCATATTCTAACTTTTTTACATTTGTTTGCTAGAAAATCAAGGGAGTGACTCCAGAAATGTGACACACACTCGTACAGAACGAGTTGCTGATGATGAATTTCTTTGCAGGCTGACGTGAGCGACTGCTGCAGCTCAGAGACGCGTTAACGACAGATTCTGTGGCTGAGAGCTGAAACTGCTTCAGGTAAGAAAATGTCCTGAGCCTTTGTGTGACCACACATTTACTTAGCATTGTATTTTCTGCAGCACACTAAGTGGAGGTTTGCACAGAGGTGGAAAGTAGTGAAGTACAGTACTTAAATGCAATTTTGAGGTATCTGTACTGGAATATTTCTGTTTTCTGCTACTTAAAACTTTGACTTTTGAGTCCAGGACTTCTACTTGTAACACAACATGTTTACTCCTGGTACTTTTACTTCAGTAAGGAATCTGAGTACTTTATTCCACCTGTGGGTCTGCAGCTGCATCTCTTAAGCCACAGGCCAGAGCGCACGTTGATCAGACTGACTTTACATCTAAGAGCAGTTTAACGAGCAAAGTAAAACAGGTTTCTTTGTTTGATGTGAAGACGACACATTTATCTTTCTGACAGTGAAGTGGTCACATGATCGGTCACATGCCCCGCCCGTCGGTGGCGGCAGCATGTTAAATGATGTTTTGGTAAATGGAATGGAAACAAGCTAAACCAAACTGCAGCAGGAAAAGACATTTTGTCTTGTTGTGTCCAACCCAGGCCAGGACCCAGGGTTTTCTACCGTCCCTCCCCAACAGAGTTGTGGCGTGTGATTGGTTGATCTACCGAGGCGGGGTTTTCCTTAGGCTTTCAGAGGGTACAGGTGTGTGTTAGGTCAGGGGCTGGCTGCACCGTTTGAAACTATTCAAAGGAAATGTTTAGTTATTTTAGTTAGTTTGACCATTATCTGTGAAACTTAGTCAAAGACGGTTGTTTCTTAGTGAGCCTATAGAATTCTCCCTGTTGTTTTGGCACAGATTCGTTCTGATATGTCGCCCAAAGGTCTTTTTATGGTTCGTTGGGCTTCAGGTGCTCTGCGCCTCAGCTTTTCTGAGTTTGGTCTAGAAAACCTGAGAAAGCAGCAAAAAGACAAAGGGACTTAAGAAAAGTTCTCATTTTTCCAAAATAATTAATTTGCAACCCCCCAAAAAGCATCCAGCGTTCCCATTTCTGTCGGATCTCTGGCACCTTGGTTTGAAATATCACTTACACAAATGATTCATTATCAGAATAACCTGCAGATGAATCTTTTTAATTGATTGATCAACTCTGGGCTGCAGTCGTTGAGCTTTTCCTCTGCAACTCACTTTGAGCGTTTCAAAGTTTACAGAAGTAAAAATTATAGTTCTTCCTCCAAAGTTTGAGCTAGAGTTCAAACGCACCTCCTGTCCAGGAGCATGTCTGTGGTCATGGTGCACAGGGACCGTTCAGAGTAGGACAGCTGCTGTTTCCAAAGAGGTGTTAACACTTTTCTCACCTGCTTCATTAGTTCAGTTGTTGTTTCCACTTTGGCCAGTTTCCTCCTCACCTGTGCAGCTGGAGGCTGCTTCTTGTAATATTCACCCATCTCAAACGTCTTTTTGGAGAACAGCACTGTGAAGTTCTTTTTCCCCAAAAAGCTACGTCTGACATTTGGAACGTCCCCCTGGCCTTACCTGTACGTGAAACGCACTGTCCTGCTTCCTGTAGCCGCTTCATAGCTTGTCATGCTGTGCTGCCACCTACTGGTATGATTTGTAACTACATCAGGTTTGAATTAAATCTGAACTTTGTTATAAGCAGGAAGACATTTTTGATAAATGTATCTGAACTTTGTTATAAGCAGGAAGACGTTTTTGATAAATGTGTCGTCTTCACTTTCCTGTGTAGCGTCAGACAATTCAGGACCTCGTTTGTTGCAGTTTGGACTAAGCTCACACTTTCTTTGCCCGTTGACTGTGGGAACAGTAGTTTGACAAAATGGCTGTCAACCTGTTCTTTTCAGCCTCTTGGTACTGGCCCGCTGATTTGGTCAGGTTTCTGGGGAATTACTAATCAGTAAAATCTTTAACTTGGTAATGCAGAGCAGAGTCAGGAGGCGTGAAATGTGGCTTCAGGTGCAGGAGGTTGTTCTGAAGGTTTTTAATCTTGTGCACACAAACATCTCTGTTCTGTGGAACAGATGATTTAAGTTTCTTGTGCACAGACATTATGAAAATATCTTTGCTGTTCTGAACAGGTCCATGTTCTCGCTGTGACTAGTATCGGTAGTAGTAGTAGTACTCAGATCCTTTACTTCAGTAAAAGTACAACTACCAGCCTGTAACAAGTGTTTATCATCAGGAAACATCTGGATAATATGAGACACAGTTCACTGTTGATTTGTAACCATTTACAAAAAGCTGAAGCTAAAGATTGTGGATTAATCTGCAGATCATTTAACTGGTCACACGTGTTTTTAGTGTGTATTAGGACTTAGTCAGAAAATAGTGAGAAATGTCCATTACAATGAGCCAGTGACACCTTTTTTGTCCATGTCTGAAATTTATTAACAGTATATTCAGAACTATCAAAGTAATTACAAGAAAAAGCCACAAACCATCACATTCCAGGAGGTGCAGTATCAACACGCGGTAGTTGTGAAGTTTTGTGTAGGCTCATCCATTCGGCTCCAGCTGTTTAGCTGAATCTCTATCAAGCTTCATAGGTATTAGACTTGTTCTGCCTGAAATAATCCTGATTTGTAAAGTAACAGTAAAAAGTACAAGTCAAACTGTACTTAACTATTGCAGTTGGATTGTGAACGCCATCCACCTGATGTCGTCTCAAATAACTGCAAATTTACACCCGTTCACTGTTCTTGATGCTGTTAAAGCCTTCGGCTTCCACATCAGCTGGTGGCTCTTTAGGCGTCAGTCACTGGCAAACGGCTCCAGTTAAACACACAACTCATCTTGTTGTACAGGTTACAGAGTGACTGACACACGGGGCTGGAGGCATCTTGTCTGTTTCTCCTCCTCTACAGCGGAGCACAGAGGTGCAGTCGTCAGCAGGGCTCTCAGTAGGAATCAGCACAGAGAGAATCACACAATCATGGAAAAGAGGAAAATTCCCCAGTCACTGCAGGTCACCTGAACGCATCAGTCAGGGTTCAGGAGCTGCAGTGATGAGGGAATGACAGTTCATTATCTGAAGAGCAAACCCCTCCCCAAACTGGTCCAGAGTGAAAGTTCTGGAGTTCAAAAGTTTCTCTTTTCTTCTTAAGCTTTTCCAGAAACTTGGAGAACCAGAAGGAATCCTGCCATCCTCGCTGCAGCTCAGGGTGACAAACACCAGGTGGCGACATCTCCTCAGCTGGAGCTGCTGCCCTGCTGCTGGGTGGACTCTGGAACACAGGTACCACATGGGGAGACAGATGTCTTCAAGGTCAGCTTTGGGTTTTGAACGTGGCTATGGTAACGCTGTAAGCTAGCACTAGTTTAGCTGTCACTGCCTATAATAAACATAGCATTGAATTGTATACAGGTGTATGTATCAATGTGCAGCCTAGTCTCTGACCCCAAGAACATGCACTTAGGTGGCATTAGAAAATACAGGACTACTCATCTGATCTTGCAGTATTGTTCAAAATAATAGCAGTACAATGTGACTACCCAGAATAATCCAGGTTTTTAGTATATTTTTTATTGCTAGATGCCAAACAAGTTACCAGTAGGTGCAGTAGATTCTCAGAAAGCAAACAAGACCCAGCATTCATGCTGCTATTTTTTTTAACACACCCCTTTCAACTAATTGCCCAATTGCACAGCCTTAAGAGCGTGCATATCATGAATGCTGGGTCTTGTTTGCTTTCTGAGAATCTACTGCACCTACTGGTAACTTGTTTGCCATGTAGCAATAAAAAATATACTAAAAACCTGGATTATTCTGGTTAGTCACATTGTACTGCTATTATTTTGAACAATACTGTAGATCTGTCAGCAACGTACAAAGAACACCCCCCAGTTGCTGGGCGTAATTCTTCTGTTTGTTATTATTCGGTCCAATCAGTAATCTGTGTGTTTGTACCTGTCAGGTCCCTGACGCGTCTCTTGGCCTCAGCTCTCTCCTCAGAGTCAAAATACCAGACTGTGATGGCGTACCTGCAACACAACCAGCAACGCTCAGTTACTACAGTTTACTAGCAGAGCTTCAGTTCCACCTTTATTCTAAGGACTGTTGTCTGATAACTGTCAGTGAACTTGAACTGTAGAGCACTGAAGGTTTCTGACAGGACTGGTGTAATAATAATAATAATACTGTGGAAATAAAGTTCAGTCACCTGTGCTTTGATTGATTACACCTGCCAATTCTCTGCACTAACAGATTCAGGGGTTTTCAACTAAGTGTGGTCCAGGGGCCACCGTTCTAAGAAATAAGCTGGGGACAGACTGAACAGGCCCCATTTTAATCCTGTCACCTTGGCTTTTCTCAGTTGTAAATTAGGTTACTGACAAAGAGTAATACGTAATAATTCTTACAGTGAAACCGTGGATTTTAATCACCTGCAGTGCTTTCACTGACCACCGGGCCACGGACCACTGGTTGAAAACCCCTGCTCTACATCAATATCAGGTCAGGAAGAGAAATACAGAAAAGGCAGTACACTGGCCTGAAGAGGAGACAGTTTTATCTTGAAATGATGTGAAAACTTTAATTAGCTGTCACTGAGAATAAAGAGCCACTGTGTCTGTGCAGGTGAACACCTGTTTAATCAGGGTGTGGACTCCTGTAATTTAATTACTAATGGGATTTAATCTGAGCACTAACTGCACATGCAGCTGGACTTTCCAGTTTTCTCTCAACACATTTCAATAAAGTAAGAGTACATAGTGATCTGGAGTTACTCTGCGGAGCACACGACGTGACAAACTCAGTTATCGTTACCATCGACCAACTGAAATATGGTTTTTAAGCTTAGGTTTTGTTATAAAGTCTTATTTTCAAATAATCCGTGCAGTCTCATCTGCAGGCCAGTACACAGTGTACACTCAGTGGTCAGTTTATTAGGAACAGCTGTGTCAGACTAAGTAAAGGTGAATGTTCAGGTGCTGGTTCACCTGTGTGACCACTGTGGAGGCTGCAGTTATTTTATTATCTTGTCCACTCCATTTGCATCAGCGGGGCTAAACACCGGAAACAGCTTAGTGGTTACAAGCTGCAGCCTCCACTGTGCTCACACAGGAGAACCAGCACCTGAACATCACTACTCTCACCGAGGAGGATTTACTGCAGGACTGTTGGGATCAGTCTGAGACGGGGGGTTCCTAATAAACGGACCACGGTGTACACTAGGCAGCGTGAGCAGAAAGGGAGGTGAGGTCCATCTTTAAACAGTCTTGTCATAAAGTGACAAGTGAAACAGGAACAGAGGCTTGATGTCGGCCACGTAGGATTTCCCTTCTGGAAAGATCCTGAGGATGCCGCCGTGTTCCTGACACACAAAGACACACACATCAGCTGTTTGTCTTTACAAAACCAACTCTTCTTGTTATCAAGTCTCTGCATACAGAGAACCCTCAGACTGATTATTAGATATTAAAAGACATTAGAAATCCACTGATACAGCAGAATATCACACGGTCCTGAAACAAAACTAACAAGGTTCTACCAAACAGTACAAGACACAGAGGAGCACTGACGCTAATCTGGAGACACTTTACTGAATCAATGTGTGGGGAACGTAATGGGGGGGGCTTTAATAAGGCTTCAGCCTGCTCCTGTTCTGTCTCATTTACCAGATTCTACTGAGTTGACTGTGGTTTGTTCGTGGGTGAACTGATGGATGAATGTACAGTACTTTTAAGGGACTCGCATTAAAGAAAGAACTTTAATCTGCTGAAAATCGGATCATTATTTTACTCTCATTTGCTCAACATCATGACAAATGATCTCAGTACCTATGTGTTGAATTCTCAGGTTCCATGACAACAGAATGTGTCTGGATCAGTCCTGGTCTCTATTATCAAGTCAACTCTTTTCATATCAACATAATCTAAATGTGATTTAACAACAGATCTAACTATGGATACAAATATTGATTCTTCAATTCAATTATTGATTCTTGAACCAATTCAGTTCCAAAACGACGTCCTGTGGAAACGCAGCTGTTACAACATGCACAAACGTGCTATTTTAAGTTATAAAGTAACATAGGTAACAGCCGGCTGTGTTAGCTGTGCCACATCACAACAGGCCACAAACACACCAAACTACATCCTGTCATGGCTCATAGCGGGCCTGGAGAGCGACAGACTGAAAAAGCCTCTGACGCTGACCTGAGCTCCGTTTGCTGTGTTGAAGTGGACAGTGTCTGAATTCTACTTTATTCAGCCTGCTCATGTCAGGAGCTAAAGCTAGCTAGCAGCTGTCTGCAGGTAGGAGGCTGATGTCAACACAGACAGAGCAGATGGATCATGTGGTCAAGCAGATCATTAATGTCTGGACATCAGGACCGAAGCACCTGCTGCTGTGTGTAGCCGTATGGGAAAGCACTTATTTTAACATTATGCAGAAAGATGACTCCGTGTTAGTGGTGCAGGGTTTTGCACATAGAGCTAAAACATCTTGAAGTGTCGTTTTAGTTTCACATTTCCCAACAAAAATTAAATCCTGTCCACAACATTAGAAGGAAATGTGTTAACAGTTTAGTCTATAAAGTGAACTTTACATATTTTTATACTCCAGGAAACAACAGTGTTGCTCACTTGGTGAATGTAAGAAAACAAATTAGGTTCCCAAGTCTCTGAGAAGCTCTTTGTGACACTGGTAAATTAATCATCACTAATCAAAATGAATGGAATTGAAATTCAGCTGAACTGAAACTTCAGTATCACTATCCAGCCCTGATCTCTTCCAAGGAAGCAACTGGCTGTACAAAGGTCAGGGGTCACACAGTGACCATGGAACCCGAGTCACTGAGCTCACCTTGGCGTTCCAGTTCTTGTTGAGGTAGTAGATGCAGGTGATGCAGCGTCCGTCACAGTTGGGGTTGTCCACATGCTTGACGTAACCCGCGCCATTTCCTGGGTAACACGCCACCATGGCCTGAACACACACACACACAGACAAGGTTAGACCTCAGGATCCAACAAAAACATGCTGCTGTAAGAGGAAAAGTTAGAATGACTAAAATATTTGCTTGTATCTTCTGAGAAAACTGTTGCGGCTTCTTTCATTAACTGTAGAAAAACATTTTCACATTTCTCCAAATTCACTGTACTGCAGATCAGTATCACAACCCAGGCATCATACTGGTATCAATATCCAGCCCTAATGTGTTTCACTATGGTTTCAAAGGTTCTTCAGTGATGAAGTGGAAGCCACAACTAAGGTACATCCTGAAATATCCTCCAGAACAACAGCTCTTGTGTTGAAGGTCACTTATGTTGGCATGCGATTACAGAAACATCCTGTGTGGTTAGTTGCTAATAGTTCTTCTGAACTGGGGTGTGTGCTGTAGTTGTGTGTCAACAGCTTCAGCTGCACGTACACAAGTAGCACACATGTTCATGTTTGCGTGTGCACGTGCAGCGGGTCAGCGTGGGTTGTGGGTTGTAGCAGTCACCAGAGCAAGAGAACAACAACCTAAGGACTAGCAACCTGTGTTAAGCCTCAACCAGCCACTGTGAAGTCAGTCGAAGTTTAGCCCCGCCCAGAGCCGGTAAGATAGATGAGCTGCAACACGTGGGTCAAACATGGCAGCATGTCACGTGACTCATGTCGCGTCAAATTCTAGTTCCAAACTGTTAATTAAGCTCCACCGGTTTGTGTAGGGAACAGCAGGATTTATTAGATTCCTGCTCTTAATGACTTAAACAGCCTTAAACTAATTCAGTGTGCTGCTGTTGTAGCTAACTCAGCTAGTTAGCTCGGTAGCTAACTATTAAAGTGACCCAGGATGTGAGGGAGACGGTCAAAAAGGTTGGAAAACGTGTTCAACTTCTGACTTTGGAAGATAGCGGCCAAGTCAGCGTCACTTTGTGGTACTGCCCCTAATGGCTGGAACTACTTGATGTTCCCATAATGCACCACTGCTGTAGAAAACTGCCCTTATAATCTCAACTGTAATCAACTCTTGTCATCCTTATGGAGACTGATGGCCCTGTCCTGTGACCTCACCCAGCCACTGTGAAGTCAGTCGAAGTTTAGCCCCGCCCAGAGCCGGTAAGATAGATGAGCTGCAACACGTGGGTCAAACATGGCAGCATGTCACGTGACTCATGTCGCGTCAAATTCTAGTTCCAAACTGTTAATTAAGCTCCACCGGTTTGTGTAGGGAACAGCAGGATTTATTAGATTCCTGCTCTTAATGACTTAAACAGCCTTAAACTAATTCAGTGTGCTGCTGTTGTAGCTAACTCAGCTAGTTAGCTCGGTAGCTAACTATTAAAGTGACCCAGGATGTGAGGGAGACGGTCAAAAAGGTTGGAAAACGTGTTCAACTTCTGACTTTGGAAGATAGCGGCCAAGTCAGCGTCACTTTGTGGTACTGCCCCTAATGGCTGGAACTACTTGATGTTCCCATAATGCACCACTGCTGTAGAAAACTGCCCTTATAATCTCAACTGTAATCAACTCTTGTCATCCTTATGGAGACTGATGGCCCTGTCCTGTGTGTGTGTGTGTGTGTGTGTGTGAGACCAGAGCCTGTTACTGTCCCATTAGAGCTGACCAGTGTGACCAGTACCACACCACTACCGGGAGCCGCTCAACCAGGTAACTGATACACATTGGTATAAACTACTCATAGTCTAGAATGTAGTGTTGGTACTGATTTTGTATTTATTTATTTTTTGGCAAAGATCCTGAACATTAACAAACGCTGGGAAGTTCGGTGTTTTTCTATTGTCCATATGTCGCCACCTGTTCCCACCTGCTCGCCGTCTGGTTTCGTCTCCTTCACTGTGACATTTTGGCATCAGATGACACGAGGTCCAAGGCCAAATACACAGTTTTTAAAGCCGTCAAAACTTAACAAACTGTGTTTTTGCACAATCTGACAGTGACTTCTTCAACAGCTGTCAGACGTGACTCCTGGGTCCATGGCCCGACCTCCCCCACGTCCTCCTAACCGCCTTTCATTTCATGTTAACAGTATTTTAACCAAATGTTTCTCTTCTCCTCAAGCTTGGAGACACAGTGGGATGTTTTTACCTCAGCCCACCTCTGACTGTGTGTGTTTTGTGTTGCAGCAAAGAAACCGGTGAAGAAGCCCTCGGTGAAGAAAGCCCTGAGCGGTGGAAATAAAGGTACGCTGTGTGTTTGTCTGAGACTTTCCTGTTTTCCTTTTGTTGACATAGAGTCAGAACAGACTGACTGAGACTCCAGAACGTGGACTGTGTCTGAGAAGGTTTGTCCAGCCCTGGACAAGTGACTCATTCTATTGGTTTCTGAAGTAAACCCAGCTCCTGCTGCAGACCCACATTAAAGTGAGCCTTTCTTCAAAAATCAATACGCTGTTCATGAACTTAGAGAAAAGTACAGGTTACCAAGTGCAGACCTAGTAGGACGCACATGCCACACATGTACGGTTTAAGCTGATGAACTAAAAGGTAAGAGTAGCCAAACCTCTGTGCCCAGATTGATGTCCTGACTAATTTTAAAGTCATGTGAATCAGTAGTAAGGCTGAGGCAGGACGTCCACCTCTGCTTGACAAGCTGCTCCAGTGAAAAATAGGTTTACTTGTGTTTGTGTGTGCAGACTGTCAGATGGACATCGCCGTGGTGATCGACAGCAGCAACAACATCGGGCAGCGGAGGTTCAACCTGCAGAAGAACTTTGTCACCAAGCTGGCTGCCGTGTTGAGAGTCGGGGCTTTTGAACTGCTCTTAGTCTGACCCGTCACCCAGGACCTGTTTGCCTTGGGAGACCCTACCAGGGACATATAGCCCCCGACAACACAGCTCCTAGGATCACTCGGGTACTCAAACCCCTCCACCACAATAAGGTGGCGGTTCAAGGAGGGGATCTGAATTTTGAATCATGAATTATATTTTGGATTTTGTTAAAAGGTTTAATAAACATCTCAGTTCCAAAAAATTAGAATGTTCTGGCTATTTGATATGTTGGGCTTTACAGGGTTAATGACAAACAGCCTTAAACTAATTCAGTGTGCTGTTGTTGTAGCTAGCTCAGCTAGTTAGCTCGGTACCTAACTATTAAAGTGACCCAGGATGTGAGGGAGACTGTCAAAAAGGTTGTTTTAAAACACACAGCTAACGTAAAACATCGAAGGTATAATTATCGATCTCGTCTTCTTACTTTGTAAGATGTTGGTGTCACTAACTACTCGACGCTCCCATAATGCACCACTACTAAAAAAGGAAGAAAAAAAAAAAACACCCTTATAGTCCCTCCTTCTGGCCCCACCCCACCACCTGCTCTGATTCAGAATGATTGACAGGTGCCCTAAACCTGAGTTTTTAAATGTTGCTCTTACAGGTTTACTTCAGTAAAGGCTGCAGGAAAATCTGCTTCTATTTTCACTGAAATTTACTAAAATAGAAGAAATCACTGATTTGATTACAAGTTCACCTAAGTTTACTTTTAACAAAGTAAACAAACACTGTCATATTGTTACTTTTACTATGTAAATACTTCTTTCACCACTCAGGACAGAAATATACAGTGCTACTTCCTGCAGTGCAGTACTGTCCAAATAGGCCAAATACTTCAGAGGTTGTAGTACCACAGTCTGTTCCAACACTGCCCTTACACAGAGAGGGTTTCTAACTAACGGACCCTGGGCTGCGATGCCCAGAGGAAGTATTCACGTCAACATTTGGCCGGTGTGGTATATCTGTCTGCAAAATAAAAAGTGTCTGACATTTCTGATTACAACTGATCCTTGGAAAAATCATGTTGTGGAAATGAAAAAATAATGTGCACATGAAATAAAGATTATCAGCATTAAAAATAAAAAAAAAGTCAAAGCCTAAAAACGTGAGGACTTGTTTTTCCTAAACGTTTATCCCATTAAATAACTGTACAAGTACTTAGACTGGGGAAAAGTAGCTTCTGACAACCTGAAAGAAACTTTACAAACCTTAGAATTAATGATAAGGTAATTTGGAGGATTCCTTCTCGTCTTTGTTAAAAGGGAACGTTTTGCAAACAGATGGAGGAGGTTTCCCTGCGCTCCCCTCCCCACAGCACAGCGACCTTTTGCCCTGAACAGGAAGAATCTGATAAGCTGAGAGCAGCAGACAGTTATCTGAGATGAGCAAAGTCAACAAAGGCTCCAACTGTGGATTTCCTTCCAGGAAAAAAGGAGCAGCCGCCACAAAATGCTGGTCCTAGGTCAGAGCCAGCCCCCAGGCATGGATGGTTACAACTGGTCATTTCGCTGCTACGGCTTCTCATCATCCAGCTCTTTCATACACGAAGCATTTCTTTAAACATCTGTTAAACTTGGTACAAGAGTTTCAACAGGTCTGCACTGAGACTTGTCTCATAAAGGTAAGACTGAAAACTTTAAACATAAAATTACACCTGATCTATGAAAAGATGATTACATGTCCGAGGGTTTGTCATTTTTTGATTACTGGAAAGATGAATATCCACAGTGCCTTACACACAAACACGTGAACATGGCTGGAAAACAGTCAGCAAAACATTTGCACTTTTCTTTGAGAAACTGACAATACTTTTTTTTTTTTTGCCAGTGCAAAGCAGGATATGAACATCAACAGGATTTTCCCTACTAAAATAAAGGTTTAATGACATTTTTACTTATTTTGAAAATTACAGCTAAATTTAAAGATCATGCTATGGCTTAAAGTCTACATTTCTTAACATACACAATTTTTGAACAGTAAAAAAATTAATCTGCCATAAATGACACTGACATTCAGCTTCTTCTCATCAACAGAAACTACATTTATATTGCTAATAAAAACCAAGCAGTAGTCTGAGACGTGACAGCTATTTAAGGGATGTTTTCAATGCTTTTTGTTTTAACTGTTGGTCAAGGGTCAGTGTTTAACTTTACATCTTAATAAAAAGTTAATAGCACCTAACAGCAAACATGGAGCAGCAGAGCGTCCACTGGGAAAAAAATCTTTGCACTTCGCTAAGAATAAACAATGCCATGTTTTATTTTTTAACCCATCCCTCATAAAAAGGACTGGGAAAAAATCCTCAATACTTTTATAAAGCATCTGACTCCTCTGATATAGGTTTTCATGTTCTACCATACAATTTTTCCATTTGATAGAACAAAAACTGTGGAAACACTGTTCATGTTCCCACTGAGCGCTAATGAAACAGGGTCAGGAAAGGAGAACCCTCATTAAAAAGACGATGTTAACAGCAACTATCCAAAACAATTGTGAACCACGCTGACATACACCAAACAGCCCCGTGACCACAACACTTATACACAGATCGCATGCAAGCACCTCGACTAACACACATGTGAACCTGATTGTGTGTTCATGGAAGCTCATTAAAAAATAAAAGGATCACAGCACGTTAACAAGGTCACCTGGGAAACAAAGCTCTGCACCCTCTTCACTTCCTTTTGGTAACAATCAACGCACACACCTCTTTTTACAGGAAGGTCACAACACATTGACCCTCATCAGGCCCCTGAATGCAACACCAACAACAACACACCTTTAGTAACCTCAGTGATGTCAGCGCGTACCACCTGACATTATTCGCCACTGACAGCAAACACCCAGAAGAGCGAATGACCTGCTCCAAAACCACAGGAAGGCCGTGCTGAGTAGAAGCAGGGAAAAATCACACGAGTCTGTTTATACACCACTGCTGAGGCACATACGCACGTACACACACACACACACACACACACACCATCATCATACAACTGAGCTGCGGAGGAGTAAAAGTATGTGGAGAAACACAGGAGGGCTAGGCGGACAGGAAATGATAGAAGGTTTCAAAACAAACCACCTCAGGGAGCTGTTTTGAATTCATCTTATCTGTAGCAGAGAGGAGGAAGGAGGGAGCAAAGGATTGTGGGAGTGAGGTGAAGCCTGTGCAGCTGTTTGGCAGATTTCCAACCTGTTGACAGTTTAATGACTGAGCTACGTGTGGAGCATGTGGCTGGTCTGCAGCGGCCACAGTCTTACTGGATGTTCAGACAAACACAGATAAAGAGCCGAGTGAAAACTTCCCATGGCGACATGTTCTGTCACACCAAGCGTCCTAAACCTAGCAGCAAACCCTCTCAGATGGAAAGCTACAACTAGAGAAGTTTGGGGAAAATGATTAAAACTTTACTTGTTTTGTAATTTTAGTTGTTTTTTTTATTTTTGGAGGATTGTTTTTTTTTTTTTAAGTTGCTTTGAATGTTCATTAATCCATTTTTAAATAATGGCCTTACTGAGGGAAAACCGGTTGCGTCGCCTGTCCAAGCAGTCACAGAACATAACTAATTTTCCTTTATTTATCAAGTTACGCATTTTCTGTGGCAATCACGTTCCAAGCGGTCACGTACGGCCAGGAGAAATGTTTACAGTAACCAGGAGCCATCATAACAATCTGTATTAGGAAAGGCCTTTAAAGACCTTTAAAGACCTTGATCCTACACGTTCCTGGCTGCTTATTAAAGAACAGTGATCAAGGTTATGTGTCTACACAGTGGAACATTTTACAGTCTAAATATAAACCTGACGGTGCTCTGGCTGGATCCATAATCTCATTTACTCATTGTTTGATTAGACAGTTCCTGGTTTAAAGGTCCTTTCGCTGTATGGTGGCTTCTCTTTAGTTGGGCAGCTGAGAACTGTGTGGGACATTCACATTTCTACAAACCACTGTTTTAAAGCTTGATACAAGTCACCAGAGTGACAGAAGCAATGCCTCAGTGTTGTTACTGAAGCCAGAAAGGTTTGTGAGGAGGCTCTGTGAGGAGGGAGAACAAGCAAGAAACTCAAATCTGCAACATTAAGAAAATCACTCAAATTAGGGAACCAAGGTTTTCATCTGAAGGCGACGCGGAAAACTTGCTCAAATGTTTCTACTGTTCTCCCTAAACTGTAGAACAGAGGGTTCAACCTGCTCATCTTTGTAACGTTTATTTTCCTGTATCACAAACACCTGTGTGTGTGTGTGTGTGTCACACAAACTGTAGTATGCTGCTACACGTGAGGATGGGGCGGACGTGCTGGGAATGTTTGTGTGTGTGTCTGAGGGGAGTGAGGATTATGTAAATCAGTGGGGGTGTGTCTGTCAGCGTGTGAGCGAGTGAGCATCAGCGAGTGAGTGAATAACTGAATAAGTGGGTGAGTGTGTACGTGAGAATGTCCACTTCCAGTTCCACATGCCTTCAGCAGCTCCCACACTGGGACAGGAGGATGCACAGAAACACCAGATGCCAAGATAAATATATACGACTGATTCATGGACTTCATTCATCTACAACCTGATTATAAATTAGATGAGGAGCAACAACAAAACGGTTCCTGGGATGAAATCACGCAGGAGATGTGGACATAAGGAAGGGAATATGTTCATGACCAATCAAAACCGACCAACTAAAACTAATACTTCCTTCTATCAAGTTAATTATGTTCACTACTGATCACCTGCTCTGTTCAGAAAAGTCTCTGAATACAGTGGGAACAAAGCTGTGCCAGCTTCAGATGTTTTACCACTGTGTGTGGCCAAGGAGAGCAGCAAATATTTGGCATTTTGCTCAAAGAAATGACTGTTCAGCTGTGAAATGAACAGCCAGGGAACACATGCAGTGATCTCAGCTGGTGTGAAGTGTCTGTTCCACAGTGTTCAGCCCTAACACCAGCGGGATCTAATGAACGCCGCTGTGCTGATGAACTCCTGCCTCTGAAATAAAACCTATGCAGCTGATTCAGTTGCACTGGTAACACTAACACCACAAGGACCGCAGACACATCTGAATAGTGTGCAACTTACAATAATGTAGCTACAAGCATGAACTTCTCCTGTGAAGACATTTTATATCATTACATTAATACACTTAGACCTGCTTACAGCTGCATTACACTGTTATGAACCACTAATGAAGTGTTCATATACAGCTCATAATTGCCAATTCCACTATCCAGACACAAAGGCTTTCAGCCCTACTGTCTACACATGCAACACAATTGTATTTAATACATCATCTTACTTTGTATAACTTATGTGACGTGTTGCTACGGGCCACAAAGCTGAATGTGAAGCTCTCCGCTTACATTTTTTTAGTAACTTTGCCCTTACGCCTTCTTCCTGACTGCTTACGGTTTTTTCACCGTCTATACCTAAAAATGTACATTAGATCAAGAAGCGCAGGTTATGTTTATTTGGATCTTGCAGTTTAAATACAGCCAAATATAATGAGATTAGAAGCCATTGATTAAAACTTCCTTTATACCCCGTTAACATTTTAAATGTTAATTAGTGGTGTTTAGAATCTGTTCACTTTGTTTCTCCAGGCTGCTCGTTGTGTCCTGTTACAGTACTTAATATGGTCATAGTATAGTAAACTATATGATACTGTTGGCCTTGGAGATGTTGCCTTGAATGTGACCCACATCGCGCCACGGGCCATGCCCTCTTACCTTGGACCTCGCCCGGATCGCCCTGTTCCCGAGGTGCCTGGCGCACACGGACACCAGCTTATCGACCAGGTTGAGCAGGAAGCTGATCGCCTCGCAGCCGCGCTCCGACCCGCTCACCCAGGCGATCTTGTCCCCGCGGATGCTCCTCCGGTGGATGCCCGGGACGGAGCCGGCCAGCCGGCCGTCCTGCAGCGCTCCGGAGCGTTGCATCTCCTTCACCTGCTCCAGCACGGTGCCCCCGGCCAGGTCTCCGAGGAGACCGTCCACATAGCAGAAGCCGTGAGCCAGCAAGCCCGGGACGACCCGTTCCAAAGCCAAACGCTCCAAGTCCGAGTAGGATACGTGCTCGATCAGAGGCATCTTGACGTCTGTGGCAGTTCTGGGATGATTTGAGTCTGATCCCGAGTGTCACCGGCTGAAAGTTGTTCGAGTCCCACAGCACCGATGATCTGAGAGTAACTCCTGTTCGCTGTCACTTCACCGGGATTCGTGCGCAAAGTCCGGCGGAATGTTTGACAGATGAGATCCGACAGTGAACATCACTCTGACCGTGTGTGTCAGAGCTCATGTTAACACGGAGCTTTTACTGAGGATGCAGCGAGGTCAAGACAAGCACGTACGCAATGAACCACTTCCGGTTAATTTCAAAATAAGTTCCTTACTCAGAAAACTGTTGTCAACGTGTCTGTAGCTACAGTGGTTCCTAGGACAGCGTTATTTATCGGTACGATTGTATTTTATCTTTAGAGCGGCTCCAACAGTCAGCAAGAGAAAGCAGCCTGCAGCTCACTGTGCTGTCACATAACGTACACACACACACACACACACACACACACACACACAGCTGGTTTTTACTCTGCATAATCACACTTAGTGCTAAAGCTAATTGGTTAATTAACTAATTGTTATGACGATTTTGTTCTGATAATAATAAATCCTTTGTCGTTTAACTCAAAAAATACCAATTATTTTGTGGCTCCAGCTTCTCTGACGACAGCAATCAAAATCCATGTGCAAATGTTCTGGTCATATTTGTATTAGATTGATGTAAATAAAATATACTTGGGATTTGGGCTTTTGGTAGGAAGACATTGAGATGAAAATAATAGGAATGTTATTTCAAAACAAAAACAAAGGATCAGAAAAGCACCTGGCCCAGATGGTGTGACCCCCTCCTGTATTCAACTCTATGTGCCTGAAGTCAAGATGTAACGGCATCTAGTTCCCTAAACTGGTGATAATAAGTTCGACCTGACCCAGGACCTGCTGATCCAGTTCTACAGAGGAATCATCCAGTCTGTTCTCTGCACCTCCATCACTGTCTGGTTTGGCTCAGCAACCAAAGAGGACAAGTACAGACTTCAGCGGACAGTCAGGACTGTAGAAAAGGTCATTGGTGTGAGCCTGTCCTCCATGGAGGACCTGTACACCTCATGGGTCAAAAGGAGGGCAGAGAGGATCACTGCTGACCCTTCACACCCTGAACACAATCTGTTTGAACTCCTCCCCTCTGGACGGCGTTACAGGTCACTGTGCACGAAGACAACCAGGCACAGGGACAGTTTCTTCCCCCAGGCTGTCACTCTGATGGACACTTAACCAACGACAGTATGATTGGACAATAACCCTCAGTGCAATACCTGTAAATATACATTGTATAGATCATACATATCCATGCAAGTCTCTATTTTTAAATACTCTGTTTTTATTCTTTTCATCGTTTTCCAGTTAACATTCCTGTCTCTCTGCATTGTTTACTGCTTGTTTACACCGTTTATGTTGTTATACTACACAGCCTTATGTTGGTATATTGTTTACTTGCCCCGTGCATGGGGATATGTACATGCACATTGAGAGCCGCTGTACTAGAGTCAAATTTCTCGTGTGTCCGACACACCTGGCCAATAAAGCTGATTCTGATTCTTTTTCTGATCTTACATTTTAAAAACTCTTCAAAAAAATATTGACAAATCGATAATGAAAATTAAGTTGCAGCCCTACTCTTATTTTAAAATTGAATGGTGTTAACTCATTTTAGAAGTAGGAGATACCCACCCTACCCTGACCTCTATTTGGCTACCAGCCCGTTTAAACTTATGCCTGCGTGCTTTTAATTTGAAAGGTCGCCGGCGGACGCGTCTTACTGTAGACTATTGACGTCGGCGGGTGAGAGAAAGTAAAGGGAAGGAGAAAAGTGTGGGACGTGCTGAATGTGATGTTCACAATGAAGGGGGGGCACTTACTGTTCTTCACACCAACTCACTGTTGTATAATTACGTGACGTGTTGCTCATAACATTCAACACAAAATGACCGAAATAACCGGAAGCCTACAACTTTGACCACATCGTCAACTGTTCAGGCTGACAATATCCAACATGTACCTCAACACGTTGTTCGTGTTTACTGACACATGTAAATAATGTTAATCAGCTGGCGCGAATACCGGCTGCTACATGCCCGCGCGGTGGCCCGCCGCCATTGTGCACTCCACGAGCCGCATGTAGCCCTCGCACTCCCTCCCTCCGGTCTGCACAAAAGTACACGCTAAACGTTAGGCTGAACACGCACCAGGAAAAGACTGACAACAGCTGATAAGGCCAGACAGAATGACAACAATAAGAGGCCTAATAATACGCTAAACGTTAGGCTGAACACGCACCAGGAAAAGACTGACAACAGCTGATAAGGCCAGACAGAATGACAACAATAAGAAGCCTAATAATTCTCTGCAGCTCCTTCACAGCGGACCTCTGGACAACCGAGGAGGGACACTTAAGAAGACCTCTGGACAACCGAGGAGGGACACTTAAGAAAACCTCTGGACAACCTAGGAGGGACACTTAAGAAAACCTCTGGACAACCGAGGAGGGACACTTAAGACCTCTGGACAAGCGAGGAGGGACACTTAAGAAGACCTCTGGTCACTGCAGCCTTCTGCTGTAAACCACAGGATTGGTGCATTCATTGACTGCATTAGTTTTGATTCAGCTGCTGAAGTTTGGTCACCTCAGTGTAACGCACTCAACTGGACACAGTCTTCATTTTATACCTTAAATCTTTTAAATGCACCCTGTTCAGCTACAGTCCTATCCAGGGATGCAAGCCTCTGTGCATAGCCAGCTCCTTCATTTGCCACTCAGCTAGCTTATAATCATTGGGCTATTTATTTATATCTAATCATATACATGGTGATCTGAATGCAAATTTGAGAACTCTGAGTGTTAATGTACATCTTAAAAGATACATTTATAGTATGAATAAGTGAATGTCAACTCCTTGACAACACCCCAGAGACTAAGACACAAACAGTATGGTCAGTGGGAGCACCAGCCCAGGCCAAGGCTGGAAACTCGTCAGATTTCTTTATGTACCATCTCCAATGCAGCAGTATGATGCTCAAACTTTATGGCTCCTTTGCTGCAGCAAATGGAAATATCCCACATGTTGTTCATCATTTTATACAATTTCAATTTAGTTTGACACTGGAAACTCTGGATCTACTCTGGGTTTGAACAAAGTGACTACAAAGCATTTCTGCTTTAGGGAGAAAAGAGGAAGGAAGAGGCCATCTTTGTCTCACTGTAAAGAAGCCTGTTTAACACAAAAAGTGTGAAGTTAGTCAATGTGTTTTTATGGTTGTTAAGTGGTCTTACACAGGGGTTAATGTGTGCAGGAACAAGCCGGATCCAGAACCTCTCAAATTGTGACCAGCACCTATTTTGACAGACCCGGCATCTCATTTACATATGAAAGAAATCAAATATATGAATGATGTATAAAAAGTCCAAGGTCTGATACTTTTTCTACAACTAGACTTTTAGACTACAACTATAATAATTAAATACAATAGAAACAGGCGGTTGTGATTACGTCACAACATAACCAGCCTGCACAGGTCACACTGGGCCAGGTGCGCATTAAGTGTCACGTTAGGTTAGCCATGAAGTGAAAATGCGAAAAAGAACGGTGAATTTGCTAAAGTATTTCAAGTTGTAGCAGGGCGAAGCTGGACCCAACTATAAAGCTTAAATGTGTTACTGCAACACTCTGAATATAATGTTGATGTGCAGTGGAGTAATAAGGCCCCAGATATCATGTCACACTTGTTATTGGCTGAACGGATTAGAGGCCGTAGGCTCGCAGTCCTTATTTAGCATCAACCGAACTCGACATTCATAACTCGCACTTGCAAATGTGTCTTCTCGTGTGATTTTTTTTGGCTGCTACAAATAAACACAGCACAAATTTTTGCCTCTCAACTACTCCCTTAATATGGAAGCTACACAAACGCACCGCTGACTGTTCTTATGTCTTGAATGATTTTATGACACTCCTGCTTATTAACAATAACACTGCGCCTGTGTTCTCAGGCAGGGGGTCAAAGGAGAAGTGGGATCTCTGGGTCTGGAGATGCTGATGGGTCCTGGACTCTCCATAAGGGTACTAACCTTACTGTGTCTCCCTCTGATCTCGTGCTTTCCCAGCTTCCCGTCAGCGTAGGTGATCAGTCTGTCCATCCTCGACAGCACATAGCCGATGTTCTCGCAGCCCGGCTCCTTTCCTTCCACCCAGACGATCTTGTCTCCGCGAATGCTCTTAGTGTCGTCCAGCCCCCTGATGGCCAGCTTTCCATCCTGCATCCTCCCAGAACGGTGCAGCTCCTGGACCTCCTGCAGAGTCTGGTCTCCAATTTTGCTGCCAAGGAAGTTGTCAATGATGCACATGCCATAGGCGTTCATGCAGGGGACAATGTAGTGCAGTACCAGTCTGTGGCTGCTGTGGTACCGCCTATCTCTGGATTTGAGGTGGACACTCCAGGGGGAGGCACATGGTAGGACTGAGACCCTGGACCCACCTCTAACTTTAACTTCATTTTGGGCTCCAACTTCAATCCCCGTCTCATCTGCAGTGCTGAGCTGAAGGCCGACTCCACTCACTTCCCCGGTTGCAAAGACACTTCCAATTCTGGACACACCATCATTCATGGTTCCCATCCCGACTGTAACGCCATTTGTGGCCCTGGTCTCGACCCAGTCCACAACTTGGCCTTGGACAGGAATCCCCAAATCCTCACCAACACAACCCCCAACAGAAACCCCAGGACCATGCACAGCTCTGGCTCCGATCCCAACCTGAGGCTCAGCCTGAGCTCCAGAAGTCCTACTGTACCTGCAGGAGTACAGCTCATCCAGATGCCAGTGGTCAACATCATCATCGTCATGCCCCTGCTGATAGGTTTTATTTTGAAAATCGTCTCCAGAAACAGCCTTGGATACAGGACTCATGTCTGCATGTGTTCCCATCACATTTGCACTTGTTCTACACTCTGCAGGTTGTTTTATAGGAAACTGGAGGCCATCTGGAAACAGCTAACAGGAGCAGAAACAGACAGGTCTGCTTCCAAAATAAAGGTATGTGTTACTGATCCACAATATATCCAATTCATATCAAATTAAAGTTACATGTCTAACTGTAGTCTGGTAGACGATTTATTGATGGTAATAAAAACACTGTAGCGGAGGCTTTTCTTTTGAAACCTGCGCCGGAAGTTTTACTTTGTATGTTACCTGATTAGAGATTAGAAATGTTACTGAACGTTACT